ATATACTTTAATCACCACTGCACAAAGTATATCACCACAAACTACAGTAATAGCTGAAATCTGAAAGACTATGGAAATTGGATCAACAGAAACTTTCTTAGATTGTTGGTGGGGGTGTAAATGGCAAGCTGCTTTGTAAAACTGCAATTACCGACTACAGTTGAACAGCAATTTCACTCCTGGGTATCTGTCCACTGAAAGTGTGCACACACAATAGAAGACATGCACCATAATGACAAAATAATCTCAAAAATCCATCTGTCCATATGTGAACAAATATGTTTCCACAAGGAAATAACGCACAACAATGAAAATGAACAACCAGAGTTATAGGAAATAAAAGGTAGGTAAAAGGGATACATCTCACAGATATAATACTGAAGGAAGTCAAACAAGAGAGAATATGTAGTGTGTGATTTAATCTATATTAAATTCAAAACAAGCAACATTCAACCTCTGAAAAGGAAGAGCGAGGAAGCACAGAACGGCCTTCTGTAGGGAGGGTGAAAGGAGAGAGCATCCTCTTAATGGCCTACATCTTGACTTTGGGGATGTCACAGACTTCTGTGATAATTCATTAAGTTGTAGACCCTGAAGAATAGTTTTCTTTCCAAGTTAAAATATCATTAAGTTGTAGACCCTGAAGAATAGTTTTTTTTCTCCAAGTTAAAATATCTGAAAGTTAAAATATTTCCCTAGACATAAAGGGTGGGCGAAGGTCTGTGCCACTCATCAGTAACATTTTCAAAAGCTCTGTGAACCCAATGATACCAGTTTTACTGAAATCACCCAAGCCTCAAGAAGTCTGAATATCACTATTCTAATACAACAGCAAATATACTACATTCTAGTTCAGAAAAGACGTTCTAGTTCAAAAATTCATCTTCAAAGAGAAACAGCACCAGGACTCAAGTGACTAATATTGTTACACTTGTTAGGAAGACGGTGAGAGTGGATGATGGAGCAAAGGATGAGATGTGGAAGATCACTAAGAAAGAATGGTTATCTTCAATTTGTTCTTTTCATTCTTTTAAGTTTTAACTTGATTTTTTAAAAATTCTGTGGTTTTCTTTTTTTTTTTTTTAAAGATAAAAAGCTGGCCAGAACAAAACAACAGATGAATTCTTATATTTAAAAAAATTTAGAGCCCATTGTCTCTTCTGCACTGGGAGCAACTCTCTGAAATGGGTGCCCGGCTTTTTCAGGTCGTCTCTGCCCCTCCCTGGCCAGGAGCACCTCTCAGCTGCTGAGCAGATCATTGAGCCGGAGTGCCAGAGTTGGTGCTGGGCAGCCCCACAGCCACTGAACTCACCAATTCTGAGCTGCCGCTTCCCACTCAGGGCCACTTCAAAGGACATGGATGGGCACAGCACTCACGTTCACGGGGCTGGAGCTGCCACAGCTAGGGAACAGGCCCTGGGGTGGCATCCACTGTGTTTGGGAGCCTCCTCATTGGTTATGCCAGGAACCCTTTTCTGAAGCAACTGCTCTTCCCCTTTGCCATTCTGGGCTTTGCCCCTTCAGTGCCATGGGCCTTTAGCCTCATCTTTCTCATCTTCTTTGCCATGTGAAGGGGTCGTCTCCACCTTCCCTAGTTTTCTCCCATCTCCTCTGCCCTTTTCCTGTATCTCCTTAGGCAGCCAAGTGGTGGCTCTAGGTTTAACAGGGAAGACACATAATGTATTAACAACAACAACAAAATAATTGAGGGACAATGCCAGAGTAGAAGTTGATTGCAGGATAATAGCTTTGTGTAGATTTCAAAATCTTATATATGTATATATGAAACAAAGATTGTCTCACAAGAAATAACTCTCAAGAAATAAAGTTTGTGATCTTTCCCCCTACAGAACACACATGTATCATAGATTATTGACAGTACATACATGGCACAGTGTTAGTCCTGTTTGACAAAGACTGGGACCCTGGTGATTGGAATAGATAGGTGGACAGAGTCCAAGAACCCAGGGATGCCTAACGAGCTTGGCCTATCTGAAACATTTCTGTCTGATTGCTCCTTTGCCGTTAGAAAAACATAACTGTTCATCTCAACACTCAGCAAGCTCTGTGACCGTGTCTAAGATGACCAAGGTCCAAATGTGACTTGGGCGTAAGCACAATAGTAAAAACAATGTAGAGGGACGAGATCAATGATGCCCTAAATGAGTTGTAGCAATTGTTTGTTCAACACTAGGACAAGTAAGGAAAGAATGTGCAAAGATTTGCAAGAGCTTGACAAGACAGTGCAGTACCACTTTGGATCAAGCAGAATTGGTTGCTATGGTGAGGCCTCATCTGAGACACTGAGTTCAATATATTATTGAAGATAAATCTCTCTTGGGTTGGCTGACTCACACCTAAGCCTATGCTGGCCCAGGCTGGCACACTAGGTAGCTGTTAGTTAAGAAGCCACACAAAGAGAAATAGAAACTGTGAACATGGCAGGGATCCTGCTGAAGCGCTCCTGTTGCAGGGAGGACGCAGGGAGCACTGTCCCAGAGAGCGGCCCGAGGCCAGCACGGCAGCATTTCCTGGTTTGTGAGAGTCCTCTCTTGCTACCAGGCGCATCCCGCTTCAGAACAAAATGAACATTACTGAAGGTATGTGGTCAATTAGCTCAGGGAAGCCAGGAAAGTCTAACTAGGTTCTAGGAAAGGAACCTACGCAGGAGAAGTGAAAAGTAGAGACACAGGATGGGAGGAGTAAGAGTGAGACTCTTCAGATGTTATTTTTAGTGATTATTCTGGTTTCTGAAAACTTTCAATTTGATTCTGAAACATAATATTCTCAAAGTTCCTTTCTTAGAATAATTCATAAGCTTATGGAACTGAAGTGGAAATTAGAGCTCATTTAGCACATTAAAGGAGAGATGAGAAAATGCCATAAAGAGGAGAGATTTCCTGTTTACTCCATTGCCTTCAGTGATTCTCCTTTTTCCACTACTTAACCATGGGCATTCTTGAACAATCTTCTTCCTCTGTCCCTCTAGACTCATAATTTCAATCTTCAATTAAACATGGATCCGCTCTTTAACCTTAAATGCTTAATTCCTTCTCCCTTTATAACAGACTTTCAATTATCTATGAAATACTTTCACCAGCATCCAAATCTCAACATGATTAAAGGCAAAATAATTCTCCTTTATCCCTCTGGCACTATCATTAATGTAATTTGGTTCCTTGTCTTATACTTTGTCTTTAATTTCAAAATATCTTAACTATCTAAAAAATATAAAGAATACCATAACAAATGCTCATGTCCCTGTCATATAAACAGTATTTTGTTATATTTGCTACAGACATAATAAACATTTTCACAGATGCAGTTATTCCCTCCTGTAAGAGGTAGCTACTTCTCCAAAGTTAGCTCCTCCCAGAAGCAGAGCTAAAGGCCAAGACTGAAGAGCACAGAGCTGACCTGGGAGGCACAGAGACACTGGTAAGGGATTGGCGGAGGTAGCGAGGGAGGGAAGGCAGACAGAAGGGCCCACTGTTAGGCCAGTCCTGCAGAGAAGCTCCGGGAAATGGTGTAAAACACACCCTAGAATAATCCTGGCCAATGAGAACTATAACTGAAGTGTTCATAAGCTCACACGCTTTAGTCACTGGGTGGCTGTGCATTTCTAGCTGTGTGTGTATAAGGGAAGGGTAGGATGAGGCAACCTGAAGGATAGTCTTTTGACAAGGAAAGGGCATTAACTGTTGAAGTCATGCTAGTGAGCTTGGATGGGTGTACACGGGGGCACAGGCAGAGCATTCATTACATCTGCAACAACGTGTCTATCCTCTTAACACAGCGTGACCTTTACTACAGCTGATAAACATTGCTAATTTTTATGACATATATTACTGATGACAGTGATGATGATGATGATGAAGGACAACTATAAATATACACCAACCAACGTGAAAAAGGAATACTGCTTGGGAAAAGGAAATTCAGTTCAAAGACTTGTTTAACTATTGAATTTATATCATGTGCCTCATTGATCTCCTAAGAAATAAAATACACATCACATTTTATTTTTGTTTGGTTTCATGCTTCCCTAGACTGACAAGATTAGATTTTCTTCCTTATCTTTCTTCTACTCTGATTTTAAGATTGCTGGCTTGGTAAGCTTAAATTGAGATTGATAGGAAAGATTATAAGTTTTTGTCAAGAAGACTATACACAAATAAAGGATGTCTAGAATATCATTTTCTTCTCAGCTGCAATCTATTAACCTTTCTATTGAAAGGGAGAAAGGTGTACATGTGCATGTGTGCTGGTCGGAGTGTATAGTAGAGACAGAGCTCAACCATAATCAGGGTAATAGCCTGCAATGTTCTACATCATTGAGCAAAGCCAGGAATAGCTACCCTTCTTCGAACCTCACAACCACTCCTGATTTTTCTCCTTGTAAAACAGGAGAAAAAAAATTTAACTTTCATATGGATATTCAAAGAAGTACCCACCAAATTTCATATTTCAAATGAGAAATGATAAATAACCAAATGGAAAATCCTATGGGAATAGTAAACAACTGAGTAGATTTAGATCAGATATATATATAACCAACAATTATAGGTACATAAAAATACACTGGCATAAAGGACATCTAGAAGCAGCATACAGGTGCATTTAAAAAAAAGAGGTAATGGTTTCACAAAGTAGTTCTCTACTATTTTCTAGCTGATTCAATTTCCATACAAAAATAAACCTTGAGAAAAGAAATAAACTTATTACATATTACCATAATTAGGCAGTGAATAGGATGAGGTATAGAGAAAGGCAGAAGGTATGGTTCTTACACTTAAAAAATGTCTACTTGAATCTTTTCATTGCTTCGATCCTTCTTATAGAAATCTGTATGTCTATACAAAACTTAAGATTGGCATAAAATTTTAGGAACCCATGGCCCCAAAGGTTCTAGCAGCCATTCCATCCACCAGAAGTGGTCCACAAACAGCAGGATTAAGAGACCACAAAGACATTTACTTAGAGAGAAACAGAATACTTACATTGTATAGTGGGATAGTCTTCATCACCTTGTACTGTTTAGTGGGGTCCATTTTATATAGGTGACGATCAGTGACAAAAATTGCTCGGTCTTCTACCTTACTGAATCGATTCACCTGTAAGAAAACCAATCAGTAAGCCATAATGTCTCATCAAGAATGACATCAAACTATCTGCCAGAAAAACATACAGGGACAGAGCTGGCCAGCTGTGGAGACAGTCTTTAATAAATGTGTACCATGATTTGTTTTATTTAAATCACAAGCCACTGCTGGATATAATAGAGATCTAAAGAAAGAGCAGCAGTTCCCAGATTTGTAGAATCTACTAACTTTCACAATTCAACAGGGAAAATCAGAAAAACACAGAAGAATTAAAGAACTAAAAGAATGTAACCCAGACACTATAAAGAAAATGAAAAGGCAACTCACAGAAAAGTTTTGCAAATTATATTATTGGTAAAGGGACTTTATTTAGAATATATTACATAAAGTAACATATATAATGTACACTAGATTACCCAGTACCTAGAATATATCATTCAATAATAAAAAGACAAAACTCCATTTAAATAGGTGAAGTAAGCAAGCAGACATTTCTCCAGAGAATATGTACAAATTGCCAATAAACACATGCAAAGATGGTAGACATCATTTGCCATCAGGGAAATGTAAATCAGAACCACAAGATAATACTTCACGACTACTAGGATGATGTGTGAGAGAGACAGAGAGAAACAGATGTTAGTCAAGATGTGGAGAATATTGTCACAACTGGTATAAAGTGATGTGGCCACTCTGGAAACAGTCTTGAAGTTCTTAAATGATTACAAAGAATTACCATATGACCTCAAAATTCCAGTCTGAAACACCTTATAAAAAACACAGCATACAAAAAAACCCCCAAAAACAAAAACACAGCATACAAAAACTTGTGTCCAAATGTTTATAGCCACAGTAGAGTAGCAAAAAAGCAAAAAACAAAAACACAGCATACAAAAACTTGTGTCCAAATGTTTATAGCCACAGTAGAGTAGCAAAAAAGCAGTTGTGACCCAAATTTCCGCAAACTTTTGAGTAGATAATAAAGTGTGATATATTCACACAAAGGAATATAACTTGGTAATACAAAGTATCACATACAGATCTATACAATGACAATGACAGACCTTCAAACATTTTGCCAAGAAGAAAGACAAAAAGGATAGTGTTTGGTTCCATCTGTATGAAATGTCCAGAACAGGCATATCTACAGACAAAGCAGTGGCTGAGGAGACCTGGGGGAGGTGGATAAGTTGGGGAGGTAAAACAAAGGGGAGTGGAGTTTCTCTTTGGGCTAATGAACTGTTAAAAAATTACCTGTGGTGATGGATACACAACTGTGAATCCACTTAAAACTACTGAATTATGTACTTGAAAATGGTGAACGGCATGAATTATATTTCAACGACTTCATTATTTGTAAGAAAAAGATGTAACCTACCCATGTGAACAATCATTCTGCCTCTTCCTAATGTGTTGGCCAGGTATATTTTAGACTAGATCTCCTAAAATATAATGATAGTATACCACTAAATCTCTAGGTTCAAAGATGTATAGTGCCTTTCTATGCTGAAAACATAAAGACCTGTCGCACTGTTCTGACTGCCACAAGAGAATGGGCCACAGGGCGGGCAGTGGGGCCCCACAGGACTCAGGGCAGGACTCAGGCCGAAGCAGCTTGGTGGATCTAGGTGGGTGTTGCTGGACAGTGCTTTGGCTAGTAAAACAGGGCATTGCCAAGGTCTGCCACACGGAGCCTGTGATTCCTAAACTTGATACTTTTTTTTTGTCTTTTGCATAAAAGAACTGAGGTGTAAGCCAGAGGTGCAGGGGGGGAGAGGATTCACCAGAGACAGAGTGGGGAACAGAATGGGCAGACTGACTGAGGTAGACTGCTGAGGGAGGAGTGGGTGAGACAGGAGAGGTCTGCTGTGCCATGTGGGTCACCTTCCTGGCTGGGGATCGAACTCAGGCCACAGTGGTGATAGTGCGAAGACTTAACTCCTAGACTACCAAGGAGTCCCCCTTTACTTAACTTTCAAGGGTTATCCTATCTGCCATGATTTCACTTTATTTCTTCAAGATGTCTGATCCTGTTCTATACACTTCCTCATGTTCCTCGTGTTTATGACCTTCCACGCCCTCCTTTCCCTCTGTACTTGTGTGTACTTCAAGATAATACTGAAGCACTCATTCCATTATAAATCCTCTTCCAAATTTATGTAGTGGAAGATGACCATTTTTTCCTCCAAACTTCTGTTACACAGTTGTAGAATCAGTATTAAGGATAAGGTAGAATTAATAATGAAATAAAATACTAACACTGAAACTAAAGGGTACCAGGATTCTTGAGAATATGAGGTCAGCTTTTGGTTTGTTTCTGCTAGTGTAAGACACTGGGGATATCACTGTTCTCTATTTGCAAAGGAAGGGAAGACCATTAGCTGATATATTAGTACTGAAACAATTAAGTTACCACTATGCTTAGCTTGTTTCTTTTTACTATGAAGCTGAGTTACTGTCTACATCTCTCTGCGAAAAGGGCAAACACCTTCATTTAATAGTTGGAAAGTTTTCAATTTTTAAAAAATTTTATTTATTTTTTTACATCATTCTTCATTTTCATACAATGAATGCTTTATCCACTCATGAATGATCCCCTAGGAGTTCCCACCACCAGTTTACCCATGTACCATCACCATAGTCCCTTGTGCTCTTCCCATCTGTTTTAAACCATTTTCTTCCCTTCCACCTCTGAAGAATGTCTCTGGATTATAGTTGCCTGCTGATTATGATTTTTATTTTGTTTTAATTCTATTCCCCCATCCCTTATTTGGGTCCCCTACAATCCTCCTATAAGTGAGACCATCCAGTATTTCTTTCTGGCTAACTTTACTGAGCATGATCCCTTCCAACTCCATCCATGTTGCTGCAAATAGCATGAGTTTATACTTTTTGATTGCTGAATAATATTCCATTGTATACATATATCACATCTTCTTGATCCAGTCAACTGGGTTGTTTCCACAGCTTACCTATTGTGAATTGTGCTGCAATAAACATAAAACTGACAGGTGCTCTTTTGAATTAATGTTTTTGTGTCTTTTGGGTAAAGGCCCAAGCGTGGAATTGCTGGGTCATATGGAAGCTCCATTTTTAGCAATATGAGGAGCCTCCACACTGTTTTCCATAGTGGCTGGATCAGTTTGCATTCCCACTAACAGTGTAGGAGTGTTCTCTTTTTCCCACATCCTCGCCAACATTTGTTGTTGCTATTCTCACTGGTGTAAGGTAGTTTCTCATTGTGGTTTTGATTTGCATTTCCCTGATTACCAGTGATGTAAAAATTTTTTTCCTATGTCTGTTGGCCATTTGCATTTCCTCTTTAGAGAATTTTCTTTTTAGACCTTCTATCCAGTTTTGGACTGAGTTGTTTACATTGTTTCTTGAGTTTTGACAGCTCCTTTAGGTCTTTGTGATCAGTCCCTTATCATTAATATTGTGCGCAAAAATTCAAAATTTTAAGGGAAGGTGACTTGCAATTTTTAGACTATGGAGGCTTGTTATGAAAAAGTACACTTGCTAAAGTAGTAGCATATTGTGTTTTTAAGCTCACAGTTGAAGCTGTTTGGCAAAAGAGGTTGCTTTTACTTATTAAACTACTGACTAGAACTTCCCTAATCTACCTCCAATTAATTTAGCCAATATAAAAGTTTAAATGAATCATCATAAAATTGGAAATGTGCTAAAGAAGTTGCTGCTCTTTTTGCAAATAGCTACAAAGAAAAAGCTATCAAAAGTGGTTCTAAATAAGACTAACAACTTCATTTTAAAGCAGACTAAAAGCTGTATATGTATATGATTTCTTTTTAAATGAAGGTCAAGGAATAACACAACTCATCAAAGGTGAAAGAAGTGGGAATGGTGGTCACTGCTGGTGTGGTGGAGCTTGGCTGGGAAGGGATGCAGGGGAGCTTTCTAGGCTGATGGAACTGTCCTCTGTCCTGCCAGAGTTGGGGTTTACATGGATGTGTATAATTGTCAAAACTCCCCGAACCTGGTGGAAGAGGGCTCAAGCACACAGGGAAGGCTTCAACATGCAAAAAAGTTCCCCAAGGAACAAACGAAAGTACAGTGGCTCAACACCTGAAGAGTCCACTGCCCACTTTGGTCTTGGAAAAACCTCACCTCTGCTCTGAAGAAAGTGGACTGGAAAAGTCAGTAAGCAGTTTCTTTCAGGAAAGCCCGCTAACGTAGTATGCTCGCACATGGACTGTTGATCCGCAGTGATTTAAGCTCATGATTGGAATTACTGAGATTTGCTTGTACATTTTTCTTTTACCTTAAAAATTGTCTTTTGCAAGAGTTAATTTTATTTCTCTCTTTAAGGTCTAAGTTTCCAATAGGCAAAACCTTTACAACCAGCCATCACTATGAGAATGTACAGAGAATGCCAGCAGCTCAGACAATCTTCCTGATGGACCTACGAGAAATGCCCATGTCTGAACTTGCAACACTGTGCTACTTGCTAGTAGTATCCCTTATACTTTTATTCAGAAAAGTGTTTTTCTGTAATCAGAAATGTGAAACATGTAAGCTTTGCTAGGACACACTGACTCAGGACAGGTAAATGGGGCATTGCAGGATGTATTCCTGCAGGTTGGACATAACTCCCTCTTTTCCCAGCTTTCAGAAATCAGTCGGTTGTCTCAGCATTTCTTTTATAACCAAATCATATTAGGAGTAAAACAGTTTATATGTTGAAATAATTACTACCAAGAATAAAGTATTTACTTTATATAGGAACACTTCTGCCATAAAAGAGGTCTGGCACTTCTCAGAAGACTTGACACAAGGTGGTGTTTTGCATCAGCATTTTTCTAAGTTGTTCTGTAACCACCAGCCTCCTGTGAGGCCTTGTGTAAGAATAGCTCACAGCAAGTGGGTTTGAGAACAATGCACACCTCAGCCTCCCCTCTGGTGCTCAAAACCTAAAGGCTATGAGAATTTTGGAAATGTTTAGCTGCTCAACTCAGCCATTCCCCCAAAATTTAAAAGACAGAACATTGATTTGTGAAACCTAGGAGAACACAAATCATCCCCTGTGTTCATCTTAGAATATGGAGAACATCTCAAATGGAACCTGAATAATAAGTAATGCTCCTCATTTGTAAAGTTATACTGAGAAATATATGCATGTGTCGCAAAGTTGTAAGAAACAAAATCTTTATTTTTAGGTTACACAAGAGTCAAAACCAACAGACTACAATAGTGGAACATAATGTTCTCTTTATGATATATCCAGGAGTTGATATGGAAACCAACAAACAAGAACTTCAGAGCAGCAATTAACTGAAGCTACACTTAGAAACATTACACTTTGGGGCTTCTCTGGTGGCCTACGCATTGGGACTCAGCACTATTACCTGAGTTCAATCCCTGGCCAAGGAGGTGACCCACATAGCACAGCAGACCTCCCCTGACCTGCCCACTGCTCCCCTCAGCAGTGTATTTCAGTAGATCTGCCTGTTCTTCTCCCCACTCTGTCTCTGGTGATCCTCTTACCCCCTCACACTTCTGGCCTACACACCAGTTCTTCTATCCAAAACAAAACAAAACAAGTGACTTTTAATTAAAAATTGTCATGTTTCTAAACAAAATGGGTCAAAAACCTTCACCTTTTGTTTTAGCAACTAAAATTTTCCTTAAAGGATAAAACAAGTGAGTGGGAAGGACATCATGTAGCAAAGTAAGAGCTTTAAATTGCATAACTTAGCTAAATCAAAATGGCGAAAAAACTTTCATATACACACGTAAACATGTAAATCCAGATTTAATTAATTATAGGTTTAGTCAGCACTCTGAGGGCCAGAGGTAAAGTTTCCTTTTGAGTGCCATCAGAAGAAAACACCCTGTGAGTGAGAGCAGCTATTTGTGGAAGTCTCCTACCTTAAAGGCCGTTTTATAGCTATAGTTAGAGGGAAATGGCTGTTTCAAAAAGTATCAGAGAATAAAGAGATGGTTTTACTGAAATCATATGGAGTTTATTTTGGTATGTCCTTGGGACTGAAGAAAGTTTCTATAGAGACATTATCTAAGCTTCAGTGTAAAGAAATATTATTTTGCATGAAGTTTAGAAATACAGGAACTTTTCAGTTTTTATTCAGCAGGATCCAGGGAGAGACATGTGGTGAGACAGACAAATGTCTTCAATGGAAAGATAGAATCAGTTCAAGCTGACTTTTCTATCCTAGATGACATAATTCTCAAAGCCATCCAACCACTTTGATGAATTCTTCTGATGAATAAATTGACTTTCCAGATATCCTGGCACTTGAAAGGAAAGCTTTTATATGAGTATATGAAGATTCATTGAAATGATCCATTCCTTTGTTAAGTGTGCCATAATGCCACAGGTTGGCATTATGCCTTACACTTTTTTATATGTGAATATGAATCTATTTAACAAAAAATCATTTTGGATGGTCTGTTCAGTGTAGGTACATGTAAAAATATTGCTTCTGGATCTAGAAATTCAGAATTTTACTCTGGACTTTGGTAACCATCAAAATAGTGCAGGTATGCTTTCGTTGATAATGTTCACTTCATTCTAACTTTAAAGCCAAATGTCCTCTATTTTGTTAAGATGTGTACACTACACTGAGTTGATCTCTTCCAAGCTATGGAAACAATCCAAGTGCCCCCACACAGATGAGTAGACCATGAAGATGTGGTTCATATACAGAATGGTATATTACTCAACAATCAAAAAAAAAAAAAAAACAACTCATGCCATTTGTGGCAACATGGAACAAGAAGGGATTATGCTAAGTGAAACAAGACAGAAGTTCAAAGACAAATATTAGAGGGTGTCACTTATAGATAAACCAAAGGGTGAGACAAAGACAGACTTCAAAACCAACCCTTGGGCCCTCCCTGGTGGCACAGTGGGATAAAGCACAGCACTGAAAAGCTAAAGCCACTTCAGTGTGAGTTGGATCCCTGCCCCCACATGGCGTGGCAGACCTCTCTTGACGCGCCCGCTGCTCCCCTCAGCAGTTTACTTCGTTGATCTGCCTGTTCTGCTCCCCACTCTGTCTCTGGTGAAGCCTCTCACTGCCCCTGCACCTCTGGCCTGTACCCCAGTTCTGTATGCACAAATAAATAAACCTTAAAAAAAATTAAAAAACAAACAAACAAACCAAAAAAAACCCCAACCATTTAAGTTGACCATAGGCTAGAGGCATGGGCTGGGGGTTGTGGAGCTGAGAGAGGGGAGGCGGAGAGCACAGGTCTCTACAATGGGGGACATAGTGCTTCGGTGGTGGGCACGCTAAGGTGGCTACACCTGAGAGGAGATCCTGCACCCTCAAAATACAAGGATGTAAACCAAGGGAAATTCAGTTAAAAAAAAAAAGTTCAAACACGAATAGTTATCATTTCTTGAACTACAGTGTTTGACCTTCCCCTATGACAGCATTTGGTCAGTTTGGCTTGTGAATTTTGCTGATCTTAATTAAACTAATTTTTCATTTAGTTCTTTTATTTCTATCATTTTTCTATTCTTTGATTAATTTCTGTCTAACCTGTCATTTTCCCTTTATGTTTGTGTTAATTTTAGCTTGCTCTTGATTCTCTGGTATCTTAAGGCAAAAGATTTACACAATCTGAAGGGAAACCAGGATATTCTTTGGTTTCCTAACATGGAATATTAGTGTAGACGTTGCATAGCTTTGCCAGATTAGATTATCAATTTGCAATCTTTCATCTTTTTTACTGCTAGCACTAAGCAGTATTTCAGTTGTATCCCATATTTTTAGTATGTTGGGACTTCATTTTCTTAGTGCTGTGTTTTAACCCACTGTACTACCTGGGGGCCCCAGGTCTTCATTTTCTAATGTTCAAATTTCCATGTAGCAGTTTCTTGGACTGCTGGTTATTTAGGAGGGTGTCATTTAATTTTTATCTTTTGGGGTATTCCCAGTTTTTTCCTATTATTTATTTCTCATTTCACCATTTCACTCCATTATGGTTGAAGAACACCTTTTATGTGATATAAACTCTTTTAAGTTTATTGAAGCTTGTTTGATGACCAAACATTAGCTCTATGTGCATTTGAGAATCATTATTTCCTTCTGCTTAATTCATTATTCTAATCTAAATTAATATTAATTTCCTCTTCTTTTTCTAGTTTCTGGAAATTGAGGATGTTATTTTAGACCATTCTTATTTTCTCTTTTTTACCTTTTGGATTTTTATTTTATTTAAAGATTTATTTAGCTATGCATAGAAGAACTGGGGTATAGGCCCAACCAAAAAAAAAGCCCTGTATCTAGCCAAATGCTATCACTCTAGGCATGTCATAGATATCCTGCTTCAGATAAATAAAAATATGTTCACAGCACACAACTTCCCTCATACCCCCTTCCAAATCTCACTAAGCCCTTATTCCAAACTATGTTCTTCCTACCCCTTTTCCTGATTAAAAAAAATAGTATTGAAACAAGCATAAAAATCAGTAATGGTTATTACAGACAAAGCAGATCAGCAGGTGGCAGGGAGGATACACAGCCAGTAGAACACAATCTCACCTCCCTCAGGAATGCTCCACAGCCTAACTCTTTAGTCACAGTCATTCATCAATGCCCCACACAAATATAGCTCACCCATGATGTAGCTTTTGTTAGGTTTTACTGCAATCAGATTTAAGTAAGTTTCATAGGAATTGTTTTCTTTTTCTTTTCAAGGAGGTCTTTTTCTTACCTTCCGGACATGACAGGAAAAGAGGACATTCATGTACTTGTCTTTTCGTTTCAGTTCATTAGCAACAGGGACAAAAGTGCCTGAGGTCTGAGTTGTATCTTGCTTCTGAAAGAAACATGGTAAAACGAGTCTGTCTAGCATTTTATAGAAAAAGGCCATCTTTCAGTGCACTGCCTTAGAATGACGCCCACATTGCTACTCATGTACTTTTTATCTCCCTGTTACAGATGGAAAGCCACCAAAGGTTTGTTTTAACTCCAAAGGTTCTATGAAATTTTAAAAATATGGAGCGGGAGAGAAGAAGAAATGTTGCTTTGGGAATAATTAATATCAAGGTGGTAATTTAATATAGTTGCTGATTTATGCACAAGAAGTAAAATTTAAATGGGCAAAAGCCATGTTTACAAAGTGTACCTATGAAATGGTTATAAAACAGAGAATCCCTTTTTAAAGTAGGGGGAAACAGCAATTATTACATACTTAGAAGCAATCAAATCTTTTAGTTTAGTATCTCTTAGAAATACACTTTCTGAATGTGTCTTAGTCTTTCTCTCTCTCTCTTTTTTTTTTTTCAGTTTTTCTTTAACTTCTGGGAGAAAAACTTCTCTCTTGACTTTCCACTTTTTTCTCCTGGACTTACCGAAGCAAGATAGTTGCCCTCCCAAGCTCTCTGCAATCCAAGGTCAGCCCTCTGTCCCTTCAACATTTCCATGGCTGCAACCTTTGCCCTGACCTGGGGCAGGTCTGTAGGAGGTAGGCTGTTGATGAGCTGGGATGCTCGCCATCTACAAATAGATTAAAAAAAAATGTAGGTAACTTTAGAACCTCATTCATTCTCAAAAATACAATTAAGCAGAATGAAACTAAACCAATGTAGGCTACCCTACAAAAAGTAAAATGTCTCCAAGAGAAACACAGAACTTGTTTTAATTCTGTAAAACTAGCTTTGCTATTTATTGTTTGACAGCAGTTCAACTATAACCTAGTGATTCTTGGGCTCACATCATTTAGAATTAGGGCTCAGAAACTTTGGATTCATCATTTATTCACTTGACAAATGTTTTCAAACACTTACTGAACTCCAAATACAGTTTAGACAATGGAAGCACAGTGGTAAACAGATGAAGCTCTTTCCTGATAGTTACTTATAATCTAGAGAGACAGACATTCGACAAGTAAAATGGACAGCATGTATCACCACGTAAGAGTTCTGGAGAAAATAAAGCAGGAGAGGACGGTAAGAATGCTGCACAGGGAGGAATGGGAAGTGGGTGCTACCTATATAGGGTGGTCTGGGAGGAACCGCTGCTAAGCATATATGAGCAAAGACCTACAGAAAGCCAAGAAGCCAGCTTATAGGGATATCTGGGCAAGTGTTGCAGGAAGAGATCACCATTGTGCAAAGGCTCTGAAGTACGAGCATTCCAGGTATGTCTGGGGATCAGCCAGCAGTCCTCTGACATTAAGGCAGAACTGGGCAGAGTAAGAGGAGGGGAGAGAGAGGGAGAGTCAGGGCCAGAATCTACAGAGCCTTGAAGGACGTCATCAGGACTCTGGCTTTTACTCTGAAGGAAGTGGGAAGCCATTGAGGATTTTGAGCAATGAATGCACGATGACCTGACTCCACTTTACAGGGTGGTTCTGATTACTGAGTGGAGGAAAGCAGAAGGGGAGCTGGGGCAGGGTGACCAGTGAGGAGGCTGCTTCCACAGTACATGATAAAGGGCGAGGCCTGGAGTAGGGAGTGGAGACAGATGTCTGAAGGAAGTGCCAGTAGGGCTTGCTGATGGATTAGATGTGGGAACAAGGGAGTAGGAAAGATTTACAGGTGACTCCAAGGTCTTTTGCTATAAGCAACTGAAGCCACAGATTAAAAATAATCTATCTCAGATTAAGAACAGGGTCTTTTCAGCTCTTAGCCCTAGACCTTAGCTCTCCTTAAAACTTAGGCCCTCTGTTAGGCTATAGGAGTTGAAGTAGGAAGGGTGGAAGCAAACTGAGAACTTCCGTATTTCAGAAGAACTAATCAAATTGCTTCCATGGAATACAAGAATGAGACTCAGCTAAAATTGAAAAAAAAAAAAAATGGTTTTCTTTCCCCAGTTTACATACAGAAAATGTTAATGAGGTTCTTTCATCTCTAAGGTCTTCCTGAGATGATCTTGCTTCAAGATTGTGACTTGGGTCTAAATGTTTTCTCTCTCAAGTTCCTTTTGAAATTGCTAATACAAAAATATTTATATTTATAGCAACACCAGGAGATGGTAGTGCTGTAATAAATTATAGGATGTGAAGACTTTCTGGACGATAAGAGCTCATGGGATCGAGCTCTTGGAGCAGCAGGTCCATAGTGGACAGTCCACACAGGACGGAGAGGGACTCCTTCAGCAGAAATGGCTGAGACTCTTCAGCCCAATGTAGTAGGGGCTGGTAGCAAGGGCAGGTGGTCAGGACTCCACAGTGGGAGTTGTGCCAGCTAACAGTACACAGACAGGCTAATCATATCTGTTAGAGGAGGCAGTCAGGGTCAGGTGGCCAAAACAATAACCATGGAAAAAGAACAGGTCCAACACGACAGTGAGACCCTCATCCCTACCTCCCGTGGCTAACCAACGCTCTGATGTGACAGACTGAGATCACTCCAGGAGGCTGGAGGAGTGACAGCGTGGGAGCACCAGGTGGGCAAAGTCACAGACCTGGTGTCTAGAACATCCTATGGCACCAAGTGCCTTGCTAAGCAACTGGCCGATTAGCCATTGAGCCCACATTTCTTTCTTGGTGGGGTGAGGTCCTTGCTCTGCTGCTGTTTCCAGTCTCTGTCACTGACTCCATACACAACTGACTGCAGAGGTGTGCTGACATCTGGGCCTGACGTGGGCCTCTCATTCTGATTAACTGCCATGTAAAAGCATGTGCAGAGGGCACAACAGTAAAGACTGCCAATCTCAGAACAAGAAAGGGGACAAAGTTGGGCATGAAGAAGGCCCCCACTTTCCTAGCATAAAAAAGAATTACTCTGAAGACAGGAGTGAGTCTCAACACAGCTGGACACACATTGAAATGTGAGAACCAGACAAAACCCCTACAGTTATGATGGAGTCCTTTAACATATTCCTTGTCCCTCTGTTTCCATGGGTCCAAACAACCCAAGATTAGATTAGATAGGATATAATGACTAGATCAGGAGCCAGTAAGTCGCTTGCGCCCATGGCCTGGTTCTCTGCTGCTTTTCAGCTGAGTAGCTTGTACACGTTTTAACACAACCAAATCATATCAAAGCAAACTATGCGAAGACCTTCTATACCCCATGAAACCTACTTACTAATTGACCTTTACAGATGTGGCTGACAGAAGTGACATTGATTCACTGGGAGAGAGAGGCCAGGAGAGAGGAAGGGAGAGAGAAGGAGAATACAGTCAACAGAGTAGACAAATTATTTTATCAATGCCGCTGTGACTATAAGTCCTGAGAGGGGTGGACTGTCTTTAGCATCTTTCTTGTTTGTTACCATATCCCTGGAACCTAGCTCAGTAGGCACTGAGTAATTATTTGCTGCACAATTAATTGGAATTTTACAAAAATTAATAAATTCCAAGCCATACATAAAACCTCAAAATCTAAGAAGATTATAGAGGTCACAATGTAATATAATCAAAATCATAATTTTTGGTAGTCATTAAAAATAGGCCCTCCCTGGTGGCACAGCGGGTTAAAGCACTGCACTGAGAAACTAAAGCCACTTCCGCATGAGTTCGATCCCGCCTGCCCCGGAGGTGACCACATGGCGCGGCAGACCTCTCCTGACCCGCCCGCTGCTCCCCTCAGCAGTGTACTTCATCGATCTGCTTGTTCTGCTTCCCGCTCTGTCTCTGGTGAATCCTCTCACCCTCCGCATCTCTGGCCTGTACCCCAGTTCTGTATGAATAAATAAATAAATCTTAAAAAAAAAAAAATTATATAGCACTTGGTTATGCACAGGACTCCTGACTGACTTCAGTGTAAATTTGTATAACTGCACTATAATCCTGATTGTGCATAAAAAGAGCCCAGGTGCTCTGTGATTGTGTATGCGTATCTATGCTCATAGCATGAGCAAATGTTTTCATAGTGCCGAGTGTGTCAGGCACTACCTGAAATGCTGCATGTATTTACGCATAGAAATTTTGTAAGTGAGTATGAGTTCTCACAAAACCTACCCCAGGGTCAGGCTTAATGGATGCTGTGGCTTCTGCTTCTGCATCTATCACCCAGCTTTATGGCGCTGCCTCCACACTTTCTCCAAATGTGTTTACTTCTCTCCACCTGAGCCACTGTCCTGGTTCTCATTCAAGTTTTCATCTTTTCTCACAAATTGGAAGATGTCCACCTTAAAGCCTAATTTTTTTTTTTTAATATTTGAAGAGAAGGTTTATTAGGGAAAAGGCCAGGAGTGTTGGACACTTGCATAGGCACAAGCAGGCAGGAAGAGCTGCCCCAAAGGGACAGGCTTGCTGAGAGAGGACTGCAGGGTCACAGGCAGGTGGCCTTAGGAAAGCGGCCTCTGCTGAGGGAGGTCAGTGCAGAGAAGCCCTGGAGGGCATAGGTGATGGACAGGCAGGAGGCTGCTGCCCTACAGAGGGAGAGAGTGGGCAGAAAGAAGCCCCCTGCATAGTCACAGGTGGGCAGGAGGCTGCCTGTAGCCTATTTTTATTGTATTTCACTTAAAAAATGCGCATTTGTTGCCCAAAAGTAGATGACTGAATTAAAAAGATATGGTACATATACACAATGGAATATTACTCAGCAACCAAAAAAGAGAAACACATGTCTTTTGCAGCAACTTGGATGGAGCTGGAAAAGATCATGCTTAGTGAGCTAAGCCAGAAAGAGAAAGAAAAATACCGGATGGTTTCGCTCATAGCAGGAGTGTAATGGACCAGGTGAGAAAATAATAAGAATAATGAACAGCCATATACCAGAGACATTTTGTAGGGGTGGAGTGGGGAATGGGATCAAAAACGGGGGAGGGAGGAGGGAGGAAAATGCACGGGACTATGGTGGTGGCACACGGGTGATTTGGTGATGGGAAACCCGCGGGGATTACAATTGAGATGGAAAAAAAAATGTGCAAAATGATGTAAAAATAAACTTTTGTAATAAATAAAAAAAAGAGCATTTGTTCATATAAAGCTTACTTTTTAAGTTATGTCTAAAGTGCAAGTCAGAGATAATATTAATGCAAACATTTATATAAGCATTCAATAGCTTGGCAAGATTTAAAACCAGCATTTTATTTGGAACATGTGATCTGAGAATTGTGGTATCTTTACTTTCAATAATTCTTTATTGTTTGATTTTTTTCTTTATGTATAATTTATTTTTTCATTAAAAAAGGCAAGTGAGATACATATTAAAAGTTCTTTTATGCATTTTCCTTTTGATATCTGTCACCAATTACACAGCGCAAAAACTAAAGGAAGATAAAATCTGATTTAGCATAGAATTATAAATTAGTTCTTTTACATTCATCAATCAATTATTTCACGGCACCCTTTGGGGAATACTGTGATACCAAATGATCACATTTGAGAGCCATTAGCTGGTTTATGTGACTAGTTGGTTGTATCTGAGACAGCTAAATCTACCTGGTATGCACTGGCAGCAAATAAACTAAAAAAATGAGAAGAAGCTATGAACAAGGACAAACTCAGATTCAGGGCAGTTTACAAAAAACTAAGATCAGTTGGAAAAGTATCAACTGATTACATGGGTTATTTATTTTAAGCAACAGCTTGCTTTAAAAGAGTTGTTTTCTCCCTTGCACTTTTAAATCATCTGGAAAACTCTAGAAAGGATCTCTGCTTGGGCGCCACTCCCCAGCTTCATTCAACAGGACTTTCTGGAGGTCTCTTGGTGAGTTTTACAAACTCCTTGTTGCTTTAAGGTACAGCAGGATCATGAACCATTGCTCAGAAACCATGAACAGACTTTCCAGTTTGAGCTATGAGTGGTGATTTTAATAAAAAGTTGCACTTTGCTTGAGTACAACCACTATGGAAAACTGATTGGAGGTTCCACAAACTGCTAAACATGGAGCTTCTCTACCACCCAGCAATCCCACTCCTAGGTATCTACCCAAAGACACAAAAACACTGATTCAAAAAGATACCTGCACCCCTATGTTTACTGCTGCTTTATTTACAGTTGGAAAGGCATGGAAACAGCCCAAATGCCCAAAAGTAGATAAACGGATGAAAAAGATGTGGTACATATACACAATGGAATATTACTGAGCAACCAAAAAAAAAAAAAAAAGAAACACATGTCTTTTGCAGCAACATGGATGGAGCTGGAAAAGATTATGCTTAGTGAGATAAGCCAGAAAGAAAAGGAAAAATACCAGACGGATGGTTTCTCTCATAGCAGGAGTTTAACAGTCCAGCCAAGAAAATAATAATAATAATGAACAGCTATATACCAGAGACATTTTATGGGGGTGGAGTGGGGAATGGGATCAAAAACAGTGCGGGGAGGGAAATGCACTGGACTATGGTGATGGCACATGGGTGATTTGGTGATGGGAAGCCAAGGGGATTGCAAATAAGATGGAAAAATGCACAAAATGACGTAAAAATAAACTATTATAAAAAAAAAGTTGTGTTTTGCTAATAAAAGTAGAGAAAGCATGCCCATGGCTTAAACATGGTGAGACCCAGGAGCTGTGGCACATTGCTGTCAAGTTCTGCCAGGAAAATCAATGGGCAGTTATACCCTGCTTTTCTGAGAGGAAAACAGATGTGTTCAAAAAGCCAGGTATACAAAACTGAAGAGAGACGTTCCAAATGAATGCGAAACTGAGCAACGACTGGCCCCGGACCTCAGATTCTCTGGGAAGTGTGAGCCCTAAATGTTGTCCACACTGTGCATTCTTACCTATTAAAAATTGTCTGCAAGGCCTCCTCGAAGCGGCGGAGCACTTTGGGCGGGGTGGGCCACTGCACGTGTTTCCCATAGTCCCTCATGGCCTTGACGCCCTGGAAGCGCCTGGCCACCTCGCGGATGTAGGATTTCACTTTGTAGCCCCGGTAGTATCTGATAATCGCCAGAGCGGCCTTGGTCCTCTTGTATCGCATACGGGCCAGGGTGCCCCTCCACACCTTCACAAGAGAGGAAGAAAAAGAAAAGGCTAGTGGCAGGCTGAGTCGTAAATGACTTCGACATGCTCAGAAGCTCCTCCCCTTGTAAACTGAACTGGGGCACACAGCTGACAACAAAATCAGCCCCAGCGTTGGCCAACGCCTGTCGATTCTGCCTGCCACCAGATGGTGCTGGGCATCACGCGGCCATGTTGGTGCCCTTCTGGCTGTCCATCCATTACCCACACCAGAGCAGTGTGTGCCCCGTTTGAAGTGCAGCCCTGTTTTGAAATGCTGCCATGTTTCAACGTTCCAGCCATGAAAAGCAGAAAACCAAAATACAAACAATGTGGCGTGGATATTTTAAGAAGGTTGAAAGGAAGCAAGATCAGTCAGAATCACATGTTATCAGCATCTGAGTTCTTAGGAAACCTAGCCTGACGTAGATTAAACACAGGGGCCGCCAGGGTAAGGTCAGGTTCAATTTACAATATGATTTCTACAGTCTGTGTAGCACCTCTCCCCAGGTGCTACGTAAACTCTTGAGAACGTAATTGAATTCCTGGGGAAGACGCAAAACAGGAATCTCTTGATTTTTTTTCAAGTGCTCACAAATCAAAAAGAAAATACATGCATGTCTCCATGCCAGTTTTTTTAAAAATTTTTTTGAAGATTTATTTATTTACACAGAACTGGGGTACAGGCCAGAGGTGCAGGGGCAGTGAGAGGATTCACCAGACAGAGTAGGAGCAGAACAGGCAGATCTATGAGGTACACTGCTGAGGGGAGCAGTGGGCGGGTCAGGAGAGGTCTGCTGCTCCATGTGGGTCACCTCCGGGGTGGGAATCGAACTCATGCGGAAGTGGCTTTAGCTTCCTAGTGCTGTGCTTTAACCCGCTGTGCCACCAGGGAGGGCACCTCCATGCCAGTTTTATCCAAGCACAGGAAATCAGGGGAACTTCGATATTTTCTCAGCATCCTTTGTCTAGGTTCCTGTGCTTCTCAATCTCTTGTGCAAAAAGAAATGGCTTTTTCTCTTTTTGACTCTTTCTCCTATGGTATTTCCAGTACAAGCCTCTCTCTCCTCTCCTTTCTTGTCCTTTCCTGTCCTGTCTTCTGTCCTGCACCCCCCTCCAAACTATCCTGTCTTCTTTGATAAATTCCTTGCCATTACTGGCTCCAGCTAATAGTCACCTCTGCTACTTAACTTGCAATGCTTGGGTTGATGGTATTACTTTTCCCTCTTGCATCTCAGGACCAAGATTTTCAATTTCTCCTTCAGGTTTCTTTTATTTCTCCTTAAATCTCCATCTGTGCCTGCCAGTTTCTCTCTGAGACACTCCTGCCCTGCCGCTTTCATTCAGTCATGCTGGGGCTATCTTTGTTCAGACGCTCATCCTGGACCACGTGCCTGCAGTACTTTCCTTTTTCAGCCTGCTGCACAGTAAAGATAGAGCTGTTTGCATACTACATGCGACCGAGGTCATCCAGGGACCCCAGAGAGGAACTAACAGGCCAAACAAACCATGGTATGTGAGGGAAAGACGACATATGCACAATTTGTGATGGGAACCTAGCAATTTGGAATGCAAGCCTATACACAGCATCTATAAAGGCAATGAGGCAATGAAAACTAACTTGTTATTGCATGTGGCATCAGCACAGCAACCCTTTTTAGTCAAAATGGCTTTCTTCCTAGTAGCTGAATCCATCCCGCAGATGGCTTTGTTACGCCTCCACCCAAATGCTAAAATAAAGGCCCCTTCTTTAGTATCTTGAAAAACCACAAGAATACAATTAGAGGGTGAAAGTCTGTGGTTCCATTTCTTAAACAAAACACATTTTTAAAGCTTCATACTGTTTGTTGCTTTTCTATTTTTTCAAGGCAAAGGAAATGAAGACTCCCTGGAGTCCCATCTGTATAGGAAATCAATCTTACATTTTTAAGAAGTGCTCTAGAGGGTTTTTCTTAAATGATTTTAGTTAGATTCTTCAGTAATTTGAAAAAAATATATATATTTTTTTAATCAGGAAGTGCTTTTTTAAGGGATGGGTCTTTTTGGACATATAAAATGTCATCTGTGTGGTTGGTGTATGTTTTATAGAGTGGAGAAAAATCAGACAGTACAAAGATGCTTAGGAAAATACAGCCACCCTTCTTCTTGCCCATCTAACCTCACCCCCTCACCCCACAGTCGCATTCCACACAGACTATTTTAACTGCATCTATGGTATTTACAGTCATACCATAGGTGATGCACAATACCGTTATTTCTTGGTTGATCTTTTAGATTCTATCCAAATTACAGAAAGTGATGATTTAGCTCTCAACCCACCATTCTTATCTCTTCTTTATCATCCCAATGAATATTACACCAACAACTTTCAGCTGATAGTGTTTACAAGATTACACAATTTATATAATACATGTACAGATTCTGTATGTTACATATAAATTTGGCTCAAGAGTAGAACATGACTTTTATTTTGTCACGTAAATTTATATTTTACCTGTAGTTAAAAGTGGTCTCATTTTAAAAACTTGCCTTATTTTCTATATATCTACTGGTAATTTCTGTCAAGTGCTCTATCTAAGACCCATCTAGTGATCAACCATAATCTCCCCACTGTCCAGCACATCAGCCAAAGCTTCTCCTTTCCACACTGTGTCCTTGTCCTCTTAGACCCACTGCACTGCTCTACGCTGGGACTATATAAACCACTCTTTCAATACTTAGAACTCTTGTCCAAGTTATATTTTTCTTTTTTTTGTTCCCACCCCTACTCCTATGTTTCCAAGAAAGAGAGCATGACCAGTAACTTTCTATTCTCCTTTACTTTCCTTGCACGTGCAAACAGTGCCTGAGATGTTTTGCATGTTTCTTAGGGCATGGCGGCTGACTCAGACTGCCTGTTTTAATCCTTGCCCCATTTTTAACAGCTGGGTAAACTTGAGCAAGCTTCTTAACCCCTTGGTGACTTCATTTTTGTGTCTGTAAAATGGGCATGATTAATAGGTGGCACTGAATTATTTTAAGATTGAACACTTAAAATAGCCCTGGTGGGCAGGGGGTGCTCAAAAAACCTCAGTTGCCCTGACAACCTGTTTGCCTTCAACAGGCTGTGCTACTTCATCTTTTCTAAGTGCAGCTCTTAGTGCAACCTGGAGAGTCTTTAATGAATGGGAGCATTTCTTTCCCAGCCTGCTCTTGGCCCCCACATGGTGTTTAAATGTTTATTTTATTCTGCCATCAGTGACACAGACTGGATATCCATAGTTATGTGCCTCAGCCTGTCTTTCAGCTGTCCAAGAGTTGGGGAGAGAGAACAGTTCTCTCTCAGCTGCCACTGAGTTTCTTCCTTAATATTAATAAAATACAGGCAGTAAAAGTTTGTTTACTGAGTCTGGTGGTGTACTGAGGTTTTTGGTTTGGTTGAAGACCACTATTCTTTTTTCCATATAGAACTTTTTCTTGATTCTTCTGTAATATTTATCCCAACTAGAGGCTTCCTCTATTCTTTGCCACTTCACTGATAGAGCAGGAGAGCAGCAGGGACGACGTAAACACTGGCTCTCTGGCCTGGAGGAAGACGACTTACTGACGGGAGAAAGGTCCCCAGCGGTGGTGTGGCTCATTGCAGGCCTTCCCCAGGCACACCTCTATACTTAAGACCAACACATTGAAATGGCAAGATTTTGCAGAACCCACCTCGCCCCCCCCAACACTTCTCCACGATCCATTCTTGAAAGAATCGGTTGATTTTTTTTTTTTCTTTTAGCACCTTCTTCCAACTTGGCCCAATTTCCCTTTTTCTGGATGATACTTCTCAAAGTTCACAATACAAAGTTAGGATCTTTTGTTGGTTTCAGAGCTGATGGCATACTCTTTGTTACTTTTACATTTTGTTAATTTTAGTGGTGTGTGCCGGTAAGTGTCATACAGAAGTAGTTAACCCTGAGCCACTTCCCATGGTCTTGCAGACCAACTTGCTGAATTAGTTGACTTGTGACCCTCACTTAGGACGCATCTGTTTCATCAATGGCCTTGTTCAGATCCACTGGCCTAGCAACTCTTTAACGCACACAACTGCTGCCGATTAATTTCTTGACCATGATGCTGACATGAGCTGACAACCTCCTTGTTACTGCAACCTCAAGAAGCAATTGAATCTTTTGGTCAATTACTGTCAGAAGACCACTCAACATGCAGTCTGTCAAGCCCCAAATTGCATTTATTTTGCAGACAAATGAAAATAAACCCACTCTAGCTAACAGGCTTAGTAATTCTAACAGGTCCTTCAGGATTCAATCTTGTTGAAAAGTAAATACTGTGATAGCTATCTTTTGCTTGCTTTTGTTTTCTTGGAAGAGGAGACCCAACAATGATAATTCGTCTTCAGAATCTCTCAGATAGAGGCAATTTTGAACCTGTTTCTTGACATAGAAGTGCAGGGTTTTGATCCAATTTGGGGGCATTGGAGAGCCAGTGAAGCTTCTGGGGATGTCTCAGCTTTGAGATGCTGCCTGCCCTCTGTACCTCCAGATTGATCTCTAACACAGGGGTGGCCCACCACTTGGTCAGGGTACAAGTTGATTGTGCTGACATTTCTTCCTTTATGTCCGACATTTAAAATATGCAGAATTCCTTAAAAAAGAAAAACAACAAAACCAAACCCTATGCCTTTGTTAGCAAATGATCTTAATTTTGAATGCTTCCTTCAAAGGTTTCTGGAGTCTGGAGATTACTCAAAAACTCAAATAATAACTCATATTTGAAAGGAATAGTGAAAGGTATAGGCTAACATTCATTTCCATAGAATTCTAAACATGAATTCTGGAAAACAAAGCTTTTTAAATGGCCCCTGAAAAAGAGATTCCATGGTCAGTAAGTTCAGGAAAGCTGTATACTGCCAATTCCCATTTTCAGATTCATATACATATTAGCATATTAAAATTTCTGATAATTTCTTTATCATAAGCCTATTATAACTTTAACAGAATTCAAAGAATGTATTTGACT